TTTATAGAATTACGTGTTTCTATTTAAAGAATTGCGTGTTTTTATTTATAGAAAATTTTCTATTTATAGTATTGCGTGTTTCTATTTAAAGAATTGCGTGTTTTTATTTATAGAATTGCATGTTTCTATTTATAGAATAGCGTATTTTTTTATATAGAATTGCGTGTTTCTATTTAATGAATTACGTGTTTCTATTAATAGAATTTTCTATTTATAGAATTTCAAGTTTCTATTTATAGAATTTTCTATTTATAGAATTGCGAGTTTCTATTTATAGAATTGTGTGTTTCTATTTATAGAAGTTTCTATTTATAGAATTGCGTGTTTCTATTTATAGAATTACGTGTTTCTATTTAAAGAATTGCGTGTTTTTATTTATAGAAAATTTTCTATTTATAGTATTGCGTGTTTCTATTTAAAGAATTGCGTGTTTTTATTTATAGAATTGCATGTTTCTATTTATAGAATAGCGTATTTTTTTATATAGAATTGAGTGTTTCTATTTAATGAATTACGTGTTTCTATTAATAGAATTTTCTATTTATAGAATTTCATGTTTCTATTTATAGAATTTTCTATTTATAGAATTGCGAGTTTCTATTTATAGAGTTTTCTTTGATCAGAAAATACAAAAACATTTTTGTGCCTCCCCCCTGATTATAGAATTGCGTGTTTCTATTTATAGAATTACGTGCTTTCTATTTAAAGAATTGCGTGTTTTATTTATAGAAATTTTCTATTTATAGTATTGTGTGTCTTCTAATTAAAGATTGCGTTTGTTTTTTATTATAGAATTGCATTTCTATTATAGAATAGCGTATTTTTTTATATAGAATTGAGTGTTTCTATTTAATGAATTACGTGTTTCTATTAATAGAATTTTCTATTCATAGAATTTCATGTTTCTATTTATAGAATTTTCTATTTATAGAATTGCGAGTTTCTATTTATAGAGTTTTCTTTGATCAGAAATTACAAAAACATTTTTGTGCCTCCCCCCTGACATTTAGTAATTGAACTGTCTGTCTGTCCAAACAAACATATAGATACTTATGGGGCTATGGGAACAATAGGTTACATTAAATTTCCTTTGATGCTATTCATTAAGTAAGCTATTAGGTGGCTACTTTTTCTGTTACCTGTCTTAAAGAGTAGCGAGGTTAACCTAAATTTGCTATTTGGATTTTTCTCAAGTTCTACGTATACCAGTGGCTTCATACATTACACACTCAACACAAAGTACATGATCTCGGCTTTCTGGAAACTATGGCTTTCATTTTTAGCTCACCTGAGCACAAAGTGCTCTAGGTGAGCTTTTGTGACCACAATTTGTCCGGGGTCCCTCAGTGCATGCGTGAATCTGTGTGACCGTCGTCAACATTTATGCAAACATCTCTTCAGAAACCACTGGGCCAAATTTGATGAAGTTCTACTAACATTGTTCAAAAAAACTTCTTCTCTGAAAGTGCCAGGCATAGAGCTTAGAAATTTTGTTTGTAGCATTGTCTCATTAAACTCTTAAAAAGTTGTTCAAATTATAGCCCTGAAGTCAAAATTGGCCCCGCCCTGGGGGGCCTTTGATTTTCCTTATATGTATATAGTGAAAACTTAAACAATTTTCTTGTAAAAAATTGAAAGAGCTTAGATATATGGTATGAAACATCTTCTAGTGGATATCTACCAAGTTTGTTCAAATAAAAGCCTTAGGGTGAAAATTGGCCCCGTCCCAGGGGTCATTGATTTTCCTTATATGTATATAGTGAAAACTTAAAAAATGTTCTTGTAAAATATTGAAAGAGCTAGAGCTTAGATATATGGCATGAAACATCTTCTAGTAGATGTCTACCAAGTTTGTTCAAATAAAAGCCCCAGGGTGAAAATTAGCCCCGCCCCCGGGTGTCATTGTTTTTCCCTATATGTGTATAGTAAAAACTTAAAAGATCTTCTTTTAAAAAAACCAGAAGAGCTAGAGCTAAGATGTTTAGCATCAAACATTTTCAAAGGGCCCTGGGGTTAATTGGCCCCGCCCTGGGTCATTGATTTTCTAGTAAAAACTTAAAAAATCTTCTTTTAAAATAAACCAAAGAGCTAGAGCATGAAATATCATCTAGTGAGTGTCTACCAAATTTGTTCAAATAAAAGCCCTGGGGTCATATTTGGCCAGCCCTGGAGGGGGGGGGGGGAGTCATTGTTTTTCCATATATATACGTATTGTAAAGGTCTTTTAAAAACCCAAAAGAAGCAGAGCTTAGATATTTAACATGAAACATCTTCTAATGGGTGGCTACCATGTTTGTTCAAATGAAAGCCCCTGGGTTCAAATTGACCCTGTCCGGGATACTAGTATTTGATAAAGTGAGAGCTCCAGATAATCTTTTTGGCCAAGAGGTTTTTACCCCTCAAAATCTAGAGTGAGGGGTAAAATGCAAATTTTGAAAAATATAAGGGGTAAAATCTATAAAAAAAAGCATATTTCTTTATAATGAACAAATTCAACTGATATTTTGTTTGTTTGTTTTCTTGTTTTTTGTTAGCAAAACTTTTACAAATAAAATATTGATTCAATGTGATACAATACAAAACATGCTCTGTAAAGGTAGACTTCCTTAGGCTAGAGTATACTGGTACTAATGTTTAGCATACACAGCAAAATTATTTCATATTATTGAGTTTTTGATATTTTTATGCATATTAAAAAAATCGCACCGTCTGTCGGTCTATGCGTCCCCACTTCATTTGTGTCCAGACTGTAACTTTGTCATTCATTGAGGGATTTTGAAATAACTTGGCACAAATGTCTACCACATCGAGACAATGTGTCACGTCCAAGAACCACGTCCCTACCTCAAAGGTCAAGGTCACACTATCATTTTGAAGTTTCACATTATCGCAATTAGAGTTAACAGGTATACATATTCGTGTTTGGACTGTAACCTTGTCATGCATCAAATGATTTTAAAATAACTAGGCATAAAATGTCAACCACATCAAGATGATGTGTGGCATCCAAGAATTACGTCCCTACCTGAAAGATCAATGTCACACTAACATTTTGAAGTTTCACATTATCACAATTAGAGTAAATAGGTTCACACAATCATGTCTGTAACTTTGTCATGCATTGAAGGATTTTAGAACAACTTGGCATAAATGTCTTCCACATAGAGGTGATGTGTCGCATTCACAAATCACGTCCCTACCTCAAAGGTCAAGGTCACACTAACATTTTGAAGTTTTACTTTATCACATTAAGAGTTTATAGGTACACACGTTTGTGTCCGGACTGTAACTTTGTCATGCATTGAAGGATTTTAGAATAACGTGGCACAAATGTCTACCACATCAAGACGATGTGTTCCGTCTAATAATCACGTCCCTACCTCAAAGGTCAAGGTCATACTACCATTTTGAAGTTCACTTTACCAAAATAAGAGTTTATATGTACACACATTTGTGTATGGACTGTTACTTTGTCATGCATCTAAGGATTTTAAATAACTAGGCATAAATGTCTACCACATCAAGACGACATGTCGCGACTAAGGCCCATGTTTCCTATGTTCCTACCTTCAAGGTCAAGGTCACACTTATAGTTTGAAGATACTCATTCTCTCGAGAAGAGTTTGAAGATACACATTCATGTCCGGACTGTAACATTGTCATGCATGGAAGGATTTTAAAATAACTTGGCACAAATGTCTACCACATCAAGACAATGTGTCACAGCTTAGGCTCATGTCCGTCTGTCTGTGTGTCCCCACTGACTCAACAATCATGTCCAGACTGTAACTTTGTCATGTATTGAGGGATTTTGAAATAATTTGGCACAAATGTCTATCTCATAACAACATTTTATCGCGTCCAGGAACCACGTCCCTTCTTCGAAGGTCAAGGTCACACTTATATTTTGAAGGTTCATGCTATCACAATTAGAGATTACAGGTACAATAATACAAAGAACAATATTCAGCAATTAGTTACTTTCATTCTCCTTTCTTTTCATAATACTTGCATGCTTAAGAAACCTTTTTGGGGGCAATCTTCACTTGGGTGACAGCTTTTGTTTTGCTTATTTTTTTTATATGTATAATCTTTTTTCTTCTTCTGTTCTATATACTTATTTTTTTCTATTCTATATGCATATATATGTATACATATGTACATAAACCTTGTTAAGACTCTTTTAAAAAAAACATTTTAACACTCTAATGGTCAGACTTTTGACTCAATTGTCATCAAACAAGGTTAGTATACTTGTCTAGGTAATTGCTCAGATGAGTTTGATGGGTCAGGTGAGTGTGCAAGGGCCATCTTAGCCATCTTGTTTGCTTAACTGGCTAGTACTTTGTTATTCATTTTTTGACACAACATTTTTAAGGTCAGTACCCTCATGTATATCAAACTCAAATTGACCTTGATTTATGTATAACCTTGACCTTAAAGGTGAAGTGATTGAATTTTCATTAATTTTTGCTATGATTGGCTGTAACTTTGTAATCAATCAATGGATTATTGTCATACTTGGACAAAACAACTTTTTTTGACAAGATCTTTTTAAGGTTGAACTGACTTTGATCTTCAGCTTTAAATGACCTTGATCATCAAGGTCATATTATTGAATTTTGGTCATTTGTCATAATTTTGTTAATTATGTAAAGATTTGATTCATAATTGGACAAAGCAACTCTTGTAACCAAAAGACATGTTGAATTATTTAGATATGTCCTTGACCTATAAATGACCTTGATGGTCAAATGATTTAATTTTGCTTATATTTTATTAACTTTATTAAGTCTTTATTTATGGAAATGATTCAGACCTGACATCTTTAATTTTCATTTTAGTTTAAAACAATTATTTGTTAGCTTAAAGAAAAAGTAGATATGTCAAGTGTTGCCCCTGCCCGGTAGTGACTCTTGTTCTATATGTCTGTTTCAACATTGAATTGAATTTAGTTTTCTAATTAATTTTTTGACAAAAGTCAAATCTTAAACTTTTAGCCAACCAAGTTATGGTCTGGGAAGCAGATATTCAGTGTACTGTTACGCCCCAACAAACAAAACCCTGTGAAGGCTAACCTGAGAACCAAGGGAAAAAATTACAGCTCTGGTGAAGACATGTGTATCAATGATTCTTGTATGTATCTTTTTTTCTTCTTCATAATAGCTATGCCAATTTTTGTACCCCCTCTTTAGGGGGGGCCATTTAGATTTACCCTTGTCCGTTCGTCTATCCATCCATCCGTCCTTTCGTCCTTCCGTCCATCCGTTCTCTTTTGTGTGGCACGTAACACAAAAAGTATTTGACCTAGAGTTATGAAACTTTATAGGAATGTTGATCAGCATGTGTAGTTGTGCACCTGGGTATTTTCGTCTTGATATTCTTAGTATTTTAAGTGTTATTGCCCTTGAATTAGTAAAAATTTCCAATTTTCAACTTGTATCGCATGTAACTCCAAAAGGATTTGACCTAGAGTCATGAAACTTTACAGGAATGTTGATCAGCATATGTAGTTGTGCACCTTGGGTTTCCCTTGTGAATTTATCCAGTATTTGTAGAGTTATTGCCCTTGACTTAGTAAAAACCATTTCATTATGTTGTGCTATTTGTTCATTGAGTGATTGAGTTAGAATCAACCAACTTTACAGGAATAATGATCAACATCACTAAATTATAGGAATAATGATGAACATCACTGTGAAACTATACACCTGGGACTTTGCTTGTGGATTGTTTTCAGTTTTGTTAGAGTTATTCCCCTTGACTTACAGTAGTATAAATTTGTAATTTTCAACTTGTTCATGCATAGCTCAAAAGTATTTGACTTGTAGGCCTGAAAGTTTACAAGAATGTTGGTCAGCATGTGTACTTATGCACTTGGGGTTTGCTTGTGGATTTATTCAGTATTTGTAAAGTTCTTTCCCTTTACTTAGTAAAAGATTTTTAGTTTTCAACTTTTGGCACATGTAGTCCAAAAAATATTTGACCTAGAGTCATAAGATTGACAGAACAGTGGCGTGTGGGGGCACCCGTGTCCTATGGACACATTTCTAGCTTGTTTGAAATATTTCAGCTAAGCATGATGCAAAGTTTGCATTTACCCTGTTTACAAATATGTTTAGTATCTTATCTAAGTAAAAAAAAATGAAAGCAGAATGTTAACAAATATGTTAAGTATCTTATCTAAGAAAAAAAAAAAGAAAGCAAAAACATTCTGATATTCTATATTTACCCATAATCATTTCTAAAGAGTTAAAATTTTTTATAAAACTTTTAATGATTTATTGCACATGCCAGTGACCTTTAAGGAATTATACAAAGTATTTTCTTCATACATGTTTTTGTGCCTCCACTTTAAGGGGGGGGATTTAGATTTACCCTTGTCCGTCCATCTGTTCTCTTTTGTGTGGCACGTAACTCAAAAGTATTTGACCTAGAGTCATAAAACTTAATAGGAATGATGATCAGCATGTGCAGTTGTGCACCTGGGTATTTTTGTATGGATTTATTCAGTATTTTTAGAGTTATTGCCCTTGACTTAGTAAAAATTTGCAATTTTCAACTTGTGTCGCACATAACTCAAAAAGGATTTGACAAAGAGTAATGAAACTTAATAGGAATGTTGATTAGCATGTGTGGTTGTGCACCAGGGTATTTTTGTATGGATTTATTCAGTTATTTTACAGTTATTGCCTTTGACTTAGTAAAAATTTGCAATTTTCAACTTGTGTCGCACGTAACTCAACGAGGATTTGACCTACAGTTATGAAACTTTACAGGAATGTTGATTAGCATGTGTAGTTGTGCACCTGGGTATTTTTGTATGGATTTATATAGTATTTTAGAGTTATTGCCCTTGACTTAGTAAAATTTTGCAATTTTCAACTTGTGTCGCATGTAACTCAAAAAGGGATTTGACCTAGAGTCATGAAACTTTACAGGAATGTTGATCACATGTGTAGTTGTGCACTTAGGTATTTTCATCTGGATTTATTTAGTATTTTTAGAGTTATTGCCCTTGACTTAGAATTTTTTTTGCAATTTTCAACTTGTGTCGCATGTAACTCAAAAAGGATTTGACATAGAGTCATGAAACCTTACGGGAATGTTGCTCAGCATATGTAGTTGTGCACCTTGGGTGTCGCTTGTGGTTTTATCCAGTATTTGAAGAGTTATTGCCCTTGACTTAGTAAAAACTGTTTAATTATGTTGTGCTATTTGTTCCTTGAGTGCTTAAGTTAGAACAGGAATCATGAGCAACATCACTTAATTACAGGAATAATGATCAACATCACTGTGAAGCTATGCACCTGGGACTTTGAATGTGGATTTTTTTCAGTTTTGTTAGAGTTATTGCCCTTGACTTACAGTAGTATAAATTTGCAATTTACAAACATGTTGGTCAGCATGTGTACTTATACACCTTGGGATTTGCTTGTGGATTTATTCAGTATTTGTAAAGTTTTTGCCCTTTACATAGTAAAAGATTTTTAGTTTTCAACTTTTGGCACATGTAGTCCAAAAAATATTTGATCTAGAGTCATAAGATTGACAGAACAGTGGCGTGTGGAGGCACACGTGTCCTATGGACACATTTCTAGTTTGGAAGTACATGAACAGTCAAACTTGTATTAAGCGACCGTGCAAGGGAAACACCCGAAACGGTAGCTTTATGAAACGGTCTCTTAAGACAAAGCATGATAAAAAGTCAAAATTTATACATGACATCTTTGTTTTGCGGCGGGAATGTTTTAAGTCCCCTACCGGTATAACCGGAGGGGACTTTAGGTTTACCCTCCGTCTGTCTGTCTGTCCGTCCGTCTGTCTGTCCGTTTGTCTGTCTGTCTGTCAGTCCCTCCGTCCATAAAACTGGATCCCGCGATAACGCAAAAAGTACTAAAAATATTTTTATGAAACTTGATATATGGATAGATGGCAGTATGGAGATTATGCACGTCTTTTTTTTCTTCCTATGTTGAAAATTCTGGTTGCTATGGCAACAAATAGCCTGAAAATATGGCAAATTTAACACATAAACTGGATCCAGTGATAACTCAAAAAGTACTGAAATTTTTTTATGAAACTTTAAATATAGGTAGATGGCAGTCTGGAGATTATGCACATCTTTTTCTTTTCTTCCTATGTTGAAAATTCTGGTTGCTATGGCAACAAATAGCCTGAATTTCAAGATTTCTGATTTAAATTTTTCAGCTTTTTCACTATAAGTTCTTTATTTCTTAAGGTGTTTACTTTAAACTTTAAATATAAGTTTCTGGTCATCAACCTCATCATATGTGACAAGCTTTACAACTCTAGCACAAAAATTATCAGTATTACCTCCCTTGAACTTAGAATTTTCATGAAGAAAAATGTTGTCTTTTTTAAATAACTTCTTTATTTCCTAATGTTTCTACTTCAAACTTCATATATATGTTTCTTATTATCACTCAACATTTTTGAGAAGGTTAAATACTCTAGCAAGACTATTTCCAGAATTATGTCCCCCTTGAACTTAGATTTTTTTTCGAGAAATTGGTATTTTTCACTCCAACTTCTTCATTCCTTATAGGATTTACTTTAAAATCCCACATGGTAATAATATGACAAGGTTGTATAAACATAATTTCCTTACTAGGCAGGGAAACTTAACACATTACTGTGATATAGACAAACTTAGAACTCAAAAGTTTTAAGTTCATTCATGTTATTCATTCACTGGTAAAATTGACTGGCCAATGGCCCGGGGTTCTTACCGGTAGGGGACTTATGGATTGCTTGCAATACTATGATAATTGCTTGTTCAACTTCATTTATATAAATGTTTAATAATTACAACGCTCCGATAATCTATAGGGATGCTACTGTAAGAAATAACTTTCTGATATTTATTGACAAATCAGTTTTGATCCATTACGTACATGTTTGACATTTTTATGCCCCCGCCATGTAATGGCCGGGGCATATAGTGTTACCCTGTTCCGTCATTCCGTCCTTCCGTCCTTCCATCCTTCCGTCCTTCCGTCATTCTGTCATTCCGTCATCATCAGTTTCCGTTCATTATCTTAAGAACGGTTGCACACATTCAACTCAAATTTGACATATGGATATGTCATGAGAAAATACAGGTCAAGTTCGAATTTGGTCATGGTTCGATGATTTTTGGCAGAGTTATGCCCCTTTTACTTTGAAAATAATATGAAATTTCAGTTTCCGTTCATTATCTCCCAAATGGTACAACACATTCAACTCAAACTTTACATATGGATATGTCATGAGAAAATACAGGTCAAGTTCGAATTTGGTCTTGGTTCGATGATTTTTGGCAGAGTTATGCCCCTTTTACTTTGAAAATAATATGAAATTTTCAGTTTCCGTTCATTATCTCCACAAAAGTACAACACATTCAACTCAAACTTGACATACGGATGCGTCGAAGGAATGCGCAGGTCAAGTTCAAATTTGGTCATGGTTCAATGATTTTTGGCAGAGTTATGCCCCTTTCACTTTGAAAGTAATATGAAATTTTCAGTTTCCGTTTATTATCTCCCCAATGGTACAACACATTCAACTCAAATTTGACATATGGATATGTTTTTGGAATGCCCAGGCCAAGTTCGAGTTTGGTCATGGTTCAATGATTTTTGGCACAGTAATGCCCCTTTCACTTTGAAAATAATATGAAATTTACAGTTTCTGTTCATTATCTACCCAACAGTGTTACATATGCAACTTAAATTTAACATATGGATATGTCAAAGGAATGGGCAGGTCAAGTTGGAATTTGGTCATGGTTTGATGATTTTTTGGCAGAGTTATGTCCCTTTCACTTTGAAAATAATATAGATACATCTTAGGAATAAGCAGTTTAAGTTTGAATTTGGTTGTAGTTCAATGATTTAAGACAAACTTATCTTTCCTGAATGTTGGAAAAATTTTGAACTTTCACTTTCAGCACTTATTATTTTGGCTACAAATATGCAATATGCTATTTTTAAAAGGTTTAGACTGAATAATTTCAGTGCCTTGAACATTGTATGAAAATGGTTTGTGTTAACATTGAAAAGTTTTAAGGGCTTTGAACTTAAAATGAAAAAAATAATTAAAGCACCATCTGAAATTTTGGCTGCATGCGGGGG